TGTAAGGCGGTAATTAATTCTTTATGTTATTGTCATTAAGTGGGTAATGGGTCACAAAACAAATAATCAAAACATTTCAGAGGTGGGGCGCCAAAAGTGTATTTGCCCCCGGGTTCAGAGAACCCTTGCTACGCCATTGCAGTCAAGTAGAGACTCCCCAAGATCCGATAATATATCGTTCGCTGAAACATTGGACTTTCTGGCCCATAGCAGAGTATACTACACTAATTCACGCCTGGCCCATATGTATATATGTGTGTGTGAGTGTGTGTATTCAAATACAGTTTTTGTACTATTTTGAGATGAACAAAAAGTTCAATGTGATTTTTTTGTTAACTGTTTTATATCTGACGTAACGTTTGTACGTGTACAACAAAACACCTTGTGCAACGATTATTTTTCATGTTGCGAGAGAGGAGATTTAGTAATAGTATATATTTAATTTCTTGACATTGTTGTTACCTAGTTTTATAAAGAAAATTATGATATATAATAAAGGTTGTTTCATCGGCGTGAATTACAAGTGTCCCGGTAGACAAAAAACAAGAAAGAGAGCGAGAGAAAAGGAAGAGTTTGTGACAAACAAACTATTAAGACTTTTTCACATTGCTATACAATTGAACTTCAAATAAATGACTAAAATATACATTATTTTCTCTGTTTTCATTTTTGATCAAATAAAACAAGACATTCATTAATGTTCCTGTTCTGACGGATTGTGTTCGTTTGTTTGTTGAATTTCGCGCAAAACTACTCGATGGCTAACCGTTCCTAATTTTGAAGTGATAGAACATCACCTTTATCTACGAATAGTGGGATTGACGTTTGTTTGTTGAATTTCGCGCAAAGCTACTGGATGGCTAACCGTTCCTAATTTTGAAGTGATAGAACATCACCTTTATCTACGAATAGTGGGATTGACGTCACGTTATAACTTCTACACGGTTGATTCATACCTGCACCCCGCAGATTGGGAGTTGATTGTCTTAACCACCAGGCCAACGTGTTAAACTTGCCAAACAAAATGCAAATGAAACTGTATTAAGCATGTGTATGAAATAGTGTATTATTTTAGACAATAATACAACAATGAAATTTGAACTAATGATAATAGAACACAATGTTTAATTCTTTACATGTTGATAATTGGAGTGAGTCACGTGCTGTGAACTAACCAAGGACAACTAGAGTGGTTTAAAGGTATTCAGGTGGATATGCATGTTTTAAACATGTCTTCTAAAGGCTCAAGGAAAGCTTGAAGGCTTATAACACCGAAGTTATGGGTTGGTCCCTTCGGTGGGCGCAACGCAGCAACCCAATGTGCAGCTTTGTACTTAAAACAAAAGAAAATATTATAAACAAGTGCAAAATATTCTGATAACCAGTTTTTGTAATCGAAGTGTTCCAGCTTTCGTATACTAGGAACTATTGCGCGACAAAAGGGAAATTACGAGTCAGTTTTACCTCTACTTATTAATCATTAACATGTAGACGTATCACAAATAACGCTTACTAAACTATTCATGAGCTTCGTGTACCTTTATTTTTCATTATTTTCGGATATTAGATTTAGTTGCTAAGTTAAAAAGGGAATTTATGGCGTAATAAAAGTGTTGTGTGTAAAACTTCAGATATACATTTGAGTGTAAAATTAAATTGTATTACAAAATGTTAAAACTTTAGAAGATAGAACACAGTTAATAGAAATTGTTGGAGATCCATTTATACAGAAAGCTTAACGGGTATGGAATTCCATTCTTTTTTATCATTGCCAGCTGATTAGAGAAATAGTTTGACATCAAAACTTAATAGTAAAAACTCACCATATGCGGTAAAGTTATATAATTTTAAAGTGAAATCTCGTTAATGCCTTGTAAGGAAAGAGTTATAAACGCCGTAATAAAAACAATTTACAACTGAGGAAAATCGTAAAATAACAAAGTTTGTGATATTGTCATCAATACAAATATTGTTCTAAGATTCAGGAGTTTGTGTGTCAGAGACTACCCCAAACAGTACAAAAAAAACAAACAAACCGTAAATAGTACATGCGAAACACATCCTGTCATACAGATTAAAAGCAGGAACTTTTCTTACATAGATAGTCCATTGTGTAGCTTTGTGCTTAACTTCAAACAAACAAACAATTTCTACATAATCATATACTGCTAACAATAGTGTAAACAGAAGTGAAAATTATTAGGATTGGGGAATAACCTCTGTTTTGTTATATACATTTTGGTTAAAGTATATGATCGGGCCTGTAATGTGAGAAGTACAATATTTAATGTTTCTATTCGGTACAAACCTGCACTAATGAAAGTTATTTGGATATTAGGTAATATTTACTTTACTGATTAATTCTTAAGTTTGCTCTTGTTCTGGCGCGCGGGTGATTAGTGAGGAGTTTAGTGTTAGTATTATTTTATCCTCTTTCTCCATAACGTAAAACTTTTAAAGATATATATATATATATGAAATGCTGTCTTCTCTTAGTATTTATTGAATCCTGAATGAGGCGTGACTTGTGTTGTCTTTGTTTTAATTCTATTTTTGTTGGTTCTCGTTCCTTCATCTGGTGAATATTAACAAACAGACGAATGACTAAACAAATTTCAATGTAACAGTTACTAAGTAGAGAGTTCTTCTGTAACAAGTTACTCTGAACATACAGTGTCATATATTATTAAAAATCACTGTGAAATCTCGCAAAAGAATTGATGAAAAAATGCATGTGTATAGCTCAATGCTAAAGGTCAGTATTTAAAAATATATATATTTGTTAAATGAACAATATTAGTATTTATTAATGTTAGTTATTTGGTGGTGTTTTAAAATAGTTAAACTAAATTCTAGTAATTTTAATACTTACCACGAATTTTAAATCTGTTTTTTTTCTTTTCAATTTTCCATTATAGTTTTAGAGATACTACATCTGATGGGAAAATATCAAACACTGAATAGCCAATGGGAATTTATATCATGACTGAAGTTGTAAATATTGACACCAGTCGCCTTCATTCAGCACTTTTGTATAATGAAAAAGACAAAAGTATTGCGCAATGTGTAGTTAATATAAATCCACAAGACCCCTCTGAAATAAATTCTGGTATATTTGCCCCAAAAGTAAATGTTTTAAAATCCGACAAAACAGACAAAAGTCAACAGGAAAACAAAGAACTGGCAGTTACTGAAAAAAGAGAAGCCAAGAACAGTTTTTGGGGCAATGAATTAGTAGCTGTAGAAAGTATGGAGTCCAGCGAACTGTTTTTCTCAAATTCTGATACCAAGCCAAGTGACGTGACACCTGATAGGTCAAAAAAGAAAAGTGGTCAGTCGTCACAACAATTCCGCTCTTCAGTAAAGCTTGATGATTATCCAGGCTATCAGATACCAATAGTAGGGTATGAGGTAATGGAGGAGCGGGCTCGTTTCACGGTAACTCTTTCACTTATTGTCTAAATATAACTGGATACCACAGTATTCGGTTGCTCGGGGTTGTAGAATACAAGTCTTTGCTATATTATCTTGAATAAATGGATAAAAATGACATTTTAAAATCAAACACGTTATACCTTTCTTTAAAAGAAATTATTAGGTCGTCAAGAAATTAATGTCGCTTTTCTTAGATGAAAAAACCCGAACAACTTATATATATATATA